CTTTGGCCTTGTCAAAAATGGGTCGTCTCTGGGCTTTAACATTCACTCCCGTCATCTTATGACTTTCGAGTTCTGTCAAAGAGGGGCAACTGTAGACACCCCAGTTTTGACCGTCCTCAAGACTTGGACGTCATCGTTTGAACACTCGATGATCATCCATGTTTGTGATCGTTTTGAGTTCCCGAAGGTCTCGGCTGCGCGCCTTGCCTTAGGATCTCTCAACTTATCTATTTTGTGCTTGGTTGTGGACCAAGGACTTGTGGTTTTGCTTCTGAGGGAAGAGGGTGGCTTGTTGGCCATCCCTGTAACCCATCGGCCAAGGCATGGTGCCATCGGCCTTGTTTTCTTGCCATTGGCCATAAGTGTTGGCCGATCAGCACTCTTTTTGGTAGATCGGCACTAATTTTGGTCGATCAGCCATATTTTTGAGCCGAGACCTTTCCATCTGCTTTTTGCAGATATTTTCTGCTAGTTGTGACAGCTGGTGAACACAATTCTCATCCTCCATACACGTGCATGAAGGGATTGCATTCAAGACTCGAGCTTATTGAACAAGCTTGAGAATTGAAATTCTATAAGAAGGGAGGCCTCTCTCCCTTTCCAGAGGTTCTGAGAATTTGATATACAAGTTCTATATATATATATATATATCTCTCTATTTTACCTCTCTTTCTTCATTTACTCTTGTTTGTGCCCAAAAGTGTAAATTCCTCACACTATTGCACACAAACACCCACTAGAACACCATCCTTTTGTTGCTGAGGTCCTTATGAGTTGGTTTTAGTGTTCATGGACTGGTTTTGATCAGAGAAGAGTGCTGGAGTTATGTTCTTGAAGGTGTTCTTCAAGGGTGAGATTCTAGCTTTTGATACCTTATTTTTGCTTAAGCTTTTGGTCATACTTGCATGCTGTTTTAAGCTTAACTTTCTACTGAAAAAACTTTTGATTTTTCATGCTTGTGATGTTTGTTTAAGGTCACTTTTGTGTTGGGGGTTGCCTATCCCCTCTTAGGCCTTGTTTGGCCTTGTTTTATGTCTTCCTTTTTGAGCTTTGGAACCATCTTGTTTTGACCTTCTCACCACTGAAATTCAGAGGATTTTCAGTGGCGGAGAGGTGGTTTTGGAGTCTTGAATATGAGAGGGACACCCCTCTCTCCTTGTGTCTCATATGCTAGTATAAATGGCTCATAATAGTAGCATGTTTGCTTAGCATGTTTTGGTTCCATTTCAACAAATTTTTGGTGTTATTTTAGCATGCCTCAACTCTGTTTTAAGTTGGTTTGATAGCATCTTGCATGCTTCACATACTTATAGAGCAATCTTGCATGCTAGCATAACACGCATGTTGTGTTTGGACCATCATTCTTGCATGTTTTGGCTCAACTCAAAGAATCTTTCTCTCATGTTTTACCATGCTTGAGCTCTGTTTGATGTTGTTTTAGTCATGCATGCATTGTTTTGTATAGCCATGGTTCAATCTAGCTTGTTAGCTTTGTGTATCAAGTCCACTAGCATCATTCTTGCTTAGACTTTTCTCATGATTTGGCGTCATTTGAAATGATATTTCAATGCATGTTTCATGGTCATACACTTGCTTTGGTCATTCTTTCAATGCTTTAAAGAGTTGGAGTTTTATGCCTTAAGAATGGACCATTGTGTATGCCTCTATGCTTAGGCCTTTAGAATGCCATCTCAGTGGGTTTTTGGGCTTATTTTGACATGTCATAACTCTGATTTTTATTGGTTAAGTCATGCCATGTTTGGTTGTAATAGGTGTAGTGTAATACCCCTTTGTAGCCTTACATGCTTCATGCTTTTGGTATTTTGTTCTAGCTTGTGTTGGCGAGGGTCAAGCAGGGTCAAGCATGCTTTTGGTCTAATATTGACCTGCCTTGGGACTATTTTGGTTGCCCTTGGTCCTTTGGGGCTTGCTCGTGGTATAAGTCCCTTTTGCTAGCTTCAAGTTTTGAGCCTCTTGCATGCCATACTTGTGTAGTTTGGATGGTTTGGCACCATTCCACGCATGATTTCAGAGCTTGTAGTGTTGTCGCACTTCCTTGCTTGTCACCCTTTAAATGCTCTTAAGAGTTGTCCTCTTATGCGTTGATTCTTAGGCCAATTGGCATGCATGTTTATATGTGCATTTCATGCCATTGTTTTAGCATTTTTGGCCACTGATTTGGGCATGACTGAGGTCTGTCCATTTTGGTTTAAGTCCATCTTTTACATGTTGTTGCATGCTTGTTCCATTTTGCATGTTGTTGCATGCTTGGTAAATTGCATGTTGTTGCATGCTAGTTGCATTACATAGCATTTTGCATGCTTGGTACATTGCATGTTTGCATGTCTAGGTTGCATTACATTTTGCATGCTTGGCACATTTTATGTTTGCATGTTTAGGTTGCATGACATTGTTGCATATTTGTTACATCGCATTTGGCATGCTTTTGTTGCATTGCATAGCATCTCCATGTTCCGTGCATTGCATTGTGCTTGGTTTGGGTGTTAAGCCAAACACGAGGATCGAGGGACGTTTCATATATGAAGTGATGAAACGTGCCTTAATTCTCAATCACCGATACTCTTGATTCAACATGATAGAGGTCAAGGCATTTATGTGTTTTTGTGCATTTCATTCATATTAAATTGTGCGACTCGGCCTCTTTGGCCATCATGCATTGAAATGCGTGATTAATGGCTCCAGGGTCGAGCACTACACTCCTTTGAGCTTTAAACATGATAAGGAATTTGGTTGCACAACATTTTCTTGGAAATGTATTGCCATGCCCTTGTTTGTACTTTGCTGCAGCAAAAGGAGCAGTCTGCAGGAAGAAATGGTCGATCGGCTATCTGGTGTGCCGATCGGCTAACAATTTTTGGCCGATAACCTCATAAGTGGTCGATGGCCCTTATCCTTTGGCCGATGGCCATACCATTTGGCCGATGGCCTCTCAAAGTGTCCATGAAGTGGTTCAGAAGCATCACAGAGATTTGTACAGTTTTCAGAGGTGCAGAACAGTGCAAACAGAGGCAACATGAGGCATGGCAACGGATTTCCGAGCAAGGCGATCGAGCATGCATCATTCATCACTTCGAGGTAGGGCTGTGGCAGCCTACTTCAGTTTCTTACTTAGCTAGTTTTGTAAATTAATTAATTTGTTTAATTAGTTAAGATTTCTGTAATAATTAATTAGCTAGAATAGATAGTTAATTAGTTGGTTTGTATTATTTATTCGGACCCTCCGTCGCGAGGGCGAATTTTGTAATAAGTGTACGTGAGTGTGTGAATGTCTTCCAACCCCACGTCTTTCTTCCTTTTACTTAACCGCTTATAATGGTTAGTTCTGGGTCATGTTTTGATTAGCATCCTTATGCTTGCATGTTTGCATTCATTCATCTGTCTTGCATGCACCGGGCTCAGCGCATCATACAAGCTGGGAACTCACTCTCTGTTTCTCTCATGTGTGTTCTTTTCAATTACCTTCCCTCTTCTCACACATGATTTCAAGTTCTTCTCTTTATATATATTTCTTTGACTTTTACAGAAAGAGAGGTATATAGTAACATACAACCCTTCAAAGGGAAATATATATGCATTGCTCAAGGATCAAGCAAAATTAGATGACATTTTGAAAGCAGCTTTCCATTTGAGAATCTCAATTCTTTGTGTTATATTGCCAGTAATTTAGTATAGTTGTGTAAGATGATTTTACCTTGAATTACAGGCTCATGTGCTTCTGCATATCATTCACTCATCAAATCAGAATCAGCCTCCTTATAGGAAGCATCGAGAAACTGATCATTCAGTGTTTATGCGTTCTATTACCGATCTTCAATCTCATATTACTGAATCTTGTTAGATGGTCTCAGCTTTATAAACATTTTGGTGTTTATTTCCACCTTTTGATAAAACCAATGTGCTTTGGTACTCAACTTTGTTGTGTAATTGACCTATTAAGATGCTAAACTTTCCTTTTTATTTTTTTTCAAACCTTATGCTTACAATGCAGAGATCAAATTCTCATCAATTTACATCATAATTGTGAAACTCTTGTTTTATATCTGTTTCTCTTCTCTCTCTCTCTCTCTCTCTCTCTCTCTTCTATTCTTTTTTTCATTTGGTATGACATGCAATTTTAGAGTTTTATGTTAGTAACATTACACTTACAGGTAAGGTGCACCAGACTCGTAATTATCATGATCTATAAAACAGTGTCATCCAGTCTAGTCTAAAATAAACATTTCATCCATCCAGCTATTTAATGAGCTATGCTAGTCCACATCACAAAATAATTCCAAAACATGTATTCTGGGCATACTAAGCAGTAAGCACGATCCTTTTTTTTAAGAAATGTCATAGTCACTAGATATAAAGATCTGTTATATGTATCATGTACCTTTGTACTGATTAGCTAATTGCTTGCGACCCATCTCATGAGTTGTCACCTCGTGATTTACCATCAACGAACAAAATTTAAATTTAAATATGGTATTGAGGACAAAAAAGTTTTGCATTTGTTTCTTGAACATTATCCACCTTGACAGTTACTTTGGTAGCTTTGGAGTTAGTGGTGCTATACCTTCAATGTTTGCTGTTCTACGAAATCTGCAGACAGTGTAAGAGCTTTCTGAACTATCCTTTTTGCATATCTGAGAAACTAAAAATTGTGTTCAGATTAATTGTTTTTGTTATCAATTTTACTGGGCAAGAATTTTGGGGATCTCAGGTGGGCTTCAAACAATGAACTCACTGGTAGCATACCTGAATTCATTGGGAATTGGTCAAAGCTTAAAAGCTTGTAAGCAATCTTCTATGTTGTGTTCTCTTTATTTTGACAATCACACTCAAATTATAGCCTTACTTTAAAATAGCAACGTGTAGTAACTGAGATGTATAACACTCTTCAGCAATCCACTTCACTTTTCTTTTTCTTTTTTTTCTTTTATTTTATTATATATATATATATATATATTTGAAGGAGATTTCAGGGAAACTCCTTAGGAGGTTCAATACCAACAACATTTTCCAACTTAACCTTGATGGAGGACTTGTGAGCATTAACTCTTTCCACAGCTTTTGTTCATATTAGCATATGAATAAAGCTAATCTTCTCTTTTATAATATACCCATGCTCATCTAGAAGAATAAGTGATTTATCTAATGGAAGTTCTTCATTGGCGTTTCTTAAGGATATGAAGTCTTTGAATCTCTTGTAAGGCAATATGATTATTGCTGGCAAATCTATTCTGTTTTAATTTTTCATTTTCATGCTCCTTAATTGCTCTTGTACAAAACTAATATAACCATGTGGTTTCATGTCTTGTAGAATTCTGAGGAATAACAATATTTCTGGATCTATCCCATACAATATTGGAGATTATCAAAGATTGTTACAACTGTAAGTTATTGCTATTAATTTCAGGTCAGCTCCCATATGCTTCAACCTGAAATTTGGCCAGTTCAGAGCCAGATGGGGGAAGATGGGGTCAAAACCAGACAACCAACTCTATGAAGCAAATACTTTTAATGTATTTACGTTATTATATAATGAATTTACTTGACCACGGTTTGTATAATTTTTCAGGGATTTTAGCTTCAACAAATTAACTGGACAGATTCCTGATTCGCTATTCAATTTGAGCTCTCTCTCTTACTTGTAATAAACATCTTGTGCTGTATTATTTTAGAATCTTTCCAACAAATACTGTTTATTGCTTGAACTAATTTCTTTATGCCCAGGTTTCTTGGGAATAATAAATTAACTGGTACCCTTCCTGCATAAAAATGTACATCTCTTCTGAATATGTAAGTACATCTTACATAACAACCCACAGTTTTAATTAGAATGTAAGTGCTGTTATCGAAAAACTATATGTAAGTTGAGAAGTCCTTTTGTTTTCTGGCACATAATGATTATAAAAAATGGTTTTCTCTTCCCAAATATGAAGGTTATATAATTTCTGAAGCATAATGTACCTTCAAACAGGTCTATGATGCAGCACAGAGTTAATCCATTTTGCCATAAGTATTCTTGACAGCAGCATATTTGTCACACAACCCTGCTACCACATGCTAGAAAATCATGTATTAAGCAAGACAAAGATCCAAGAATACATGTATGTGTAAACGTAAATGTATAGATGTATACAAAAATAGCCAACATTAGGGAACACACTAGGGGAGGTAAATATTAAATATTTGGACATACACTAGATTTTTGTTTGCGTATTGATATGCCTGTGATATTTTTTTTTGTTTTTTTTTAATTTTATTTATTTATTTTTTCTGAGAGCTCTAGCAAAGCGGCAGAAACTAAAGTTGCCTGAGGGATGCGGGTAAGTCGTGGAGAGAATGTTGCATTTTTTTTGGTTTTATTATGTTTTATGATACAAAAAATAATATGAAATTGGGGTTTGCAGGTATGAGTTCCAGATGCAATATGGATCAATTAGCTGGGCTGTAGGTGCGACTCTTGGATATGCACAGGCTGCACAAAATAAGCAAGTGATTGCTTCCATTGGTGATGGTAACTTCCAGGTAATTATGCATACATTTCAATCTTCATTGTATATAATATACTTTTGATTTTTATAAATTCTCCTAATCTTATGAATACTGTATTGGACATACTTCCTACGTTGATGTTTGTATATCTTCATCTTATGTCACCTAACATGCACAATATGAAGGATTATAAACTTAAGGGATTGCAGTAATGGGATTCACTGCTTTGAATTTGTCCTTGTTAACACCTATTTTGGTGAATGCTTGGCAGGTGACAGCACAAGATGTATCAACAATGCTGAGATGTGAACAGAGGACCATCATCTTCCTTATAGAATCTGGGAATTTTTGTTTCTTAGTAGATGCTTTCATAGTACTTGTTTATATAATTAGTTTGAATTGCATCTTTTGTAGTGATCTGTTTTGTAATAACTTTCAACTTACTACTAGGTACTAGTTTAACTTTATTTCATCTTGGAATTGAAATATTTTTGCATATTGAGAAGCATGAATTGATCTAGTATTATGTTTACCTAAATTTAGTCAATATATTGTATATTTTTCATCTTTATAAAAGGTATTTTTTTTTGGTTAAATCTCACAGAATTAGCACAATTTTTTTTTTCATTTAAAAAAATGAAATTATAACGGCGTTTTTAAACGTCACTATAGAATACCAACGGTTATATTTTGAAAATCAAAATGACCTATCACGACGTTTTAAAACGTCGCTAAATGTGTAGTGACGTCATTGTATAATTATGCAGCACATTTTTTAAAACGCCGCCTTTACTGATATAGCGACATTTTTAAAGCGTCATAAAGTTACAGCGACGGCCGCATCTTTGGCGTTTGGTACTAAACGTCACAAAAATAATTAGCGGCGATTTTAATAACTATAGCGGCATTTTTTTAACGCCACTAAAAGATCAATTTCCAGCAGTGAAATCATTTCTAGAAATATGATGTCTTACATAAAAGTATAATGAAGTTAACTTTAATTAATGTAATTATATTTTATATTATGATATGTGTTACAAAATAATAATATTTATTTTAATTTTAATTATTTATTTTAATAATCTTAATATTTCCTCTCTCTAAACATTTCCGCTCTATAAAAGTGTTACCTATATTCTTATATACAATAAATTTAGTTAAATTATTTGTTTATTTTGATAATTTTAGTTCTATTGTTTTATAAAAGTGTAATTATTATATAATAATTTTAAATAATATATATTAAATTATAAGATAGTAAAATAAACACTCATTTTGATATTAAAAATAATAGAAAACAAAATATCATGTTATAGTAATATAAAACTAAAAGTGATTCTAATTATTTAATTTTATATTTATTTAGGAAATAAAAATATGTAGAAATGGAGCAGCACAAAATTTATGTAGCGATCCCGGTTTCGATCCTTCTTTCATGTTTTGCCACTTCAACTGGGCAGGTCGGGGATTGAGTTGCCCAATCAGCTCGCGGGGGTCCAGGGGGCAACTTTTCTTAAATATTCTTTTTGAATTATTCATATATATTATATATATATATATATATAATTTAAATTATCGTGTTAAAAAAATATTAAATATAAATATAAGGTAGACAAAATGACCAACCCATTTTTCATTCTACTCTGCATTCTTCTTTCACGCATTATCTGTTAAAATCAAACCCCCTATCTCTCTGTCTTCGATGAGGGAAATTATTTAAATTTTTTGGAAACACACGTGTCTGTACTACTAATTCATCATCATTCAATATATTCTTACATTTTCCAATTATCTAACGCAATACCCCACCTACTCACCTTTTCCACAAATCATAATATTATAAAATATCATAAATTTATATTCCGAAATTACTGAATAATTATACAGATCAAACCAAACCTACTTTTCTTTCTCTATTTTTTCTCTCTTCTCTCTCTCTCTTTGGCTTCTTCGGCTTCAACTGCTGTTATCCTTCGTGTTCTTGGGTTTGTTGAGGGGTTTGTCAAGCGTCTCACATCCCTCCATCGTCTCATTCTCCCCTCCTTCATTCCGCACCAACACCCCCCATCGTCGTATCGCCATTGCCGTGGATCTCTTAATCTGCCAAGTCGTATCAAAGGGTGACAATCAAGTCTAACAGTACATTGCTTCCTAACTGTTTGAACCACATTAGATCATATCAATACCAAACTCTCTCTAGCACATTATCTCCCTCTAAAAAATGACATCCAAGCAGACCTACCGAATCTGCTGGTGTTTCCAGTGATGATTCAACCTCACGGCCGCCGAAGCTCTGGTAGATGTCAAGGCATTGTTCATGTTAGAATAGTAGAGAGAGAAAATAATATGTATTGTATTGAATTAATGATTTTACAGTACAAAGCTATGGGTATATATATAGGACTATGTAGTAGTGTTGTACAAAGGAAAGGGAAAGAATAAGGTAGGGAGAGAATAAGGTAAGGAAAGAATAAGGTAAGGAAAGAAAAAGGCAAGATTTGAACATACCTAATAGGGAGGAGCCTATAATCTAAATATGGAATACAATACAAAGAATAATATATACATATATAATATGTTAATTATATACATATATAATATATTAATATATTTCATATATTAACATCCCCCCTCAAACTCAAGGTGGCAAGGTAGAAAGCAACTTGAGTTTGGAAACTAAATCTGGGAAACGTCCCGGTGGATGGGTCTTGGTGAAGATGTCAACAATCTGATCAACAGTGGAAATAGGAAGAAGATGAATAGTGTCTTGAGTAACATGTTGATGAACAAAATGACAATCAATCTCAATGTGTTTGGTGCGATCATGGAAAACATCATTATGCGCAATTTGGATAGCACTATGATTGTCACAGTATAGCCAAATGAGCTCCTGAGTGGTATCTGCAAGAGCACGATATTCGGATTCGGTGCTGGAGTGAGAGACCAAGGTTTGTTTCTTGCTACGCCAACATATAAGGGAATCACCTAAGAAGAAACAAAATCCTATGGTAGAGCGACGATCAGTCGGATCACCAACCCAATCAGCATCTGAATAGGCATGTAATAAGAGTGCAGAACTAGAGGAGTAGTGAAGACCATGAAACAAAGTGCTTTTAAGATAGCGAAGAATACGGAGCACAGCAGCATAATGTGTAGATCGTGGAGCTGACAAAAATTGGCTAACAAGGTGAACAGCATGTGCAATGTCGAGTTGAGTAACAGTGAGATAAACGAGACTGCCTACTAATTGTCGATACAAGGTGGCATTGGGAAGAGGTGTGCCATCTAGGGGTGTTAGGTGTTCATTAGGCTCGAGAGGAGTAGAGACAGTTTTGCTGTCAGTGAGGCCAGCCTTTGCTAGAAGATCAGAAGCATATTTGGCTTGAGAGAGATAATAGCCATCGGAGCTAGAGGAGATCTCAAGCCCCATGAAATATTTGAGAGTACCCAAATCCTTCATCTCAAAGTGTTCACTAAGAGACTTTTTGAGTGCAGAAATTCCATGAACATCATCACCAGTAAGAATCATATCGTCCACATAAAGAAGAAGAAGAACAACGCCATGTTGAGATTTGCGGATAAAGAGAGCAGAATCATAAGAGCTGGAAGAGAAACCAAAGGCCTGGATGGTGGAACTAAACTTTGGAAACCATGCGCGAGGAGCTTGTTTGAGTCCATAGAGTGCCTTTCGAAGTTTACAGACCTGATTAGATGAGTGAGGATATCCAGGAGGTGGTTGCATATAGACTTCTCTTGAAGATCACCATTCAAGAATGCATTTTTGACATCCATCTGAAATAATGTCCATTTTTGAATGGCAGCAACAACAATTAAACTTCGAACAGAGGTGAGATGAGCCACAGGTGCAAAGGTTTCTTCATAGTCAATTCCATATTCTTGTGTAAAGCCCTTAGCAACCAGACGGGCTTTATAAAGTTCGACGGTCCCATCTGAGTGTGTCTTAATCTTGTAGACCCATTTACAACCAACCAGAGGCGTATTAGGAGGAAGGTCAACCAACTCCCATGTACCAGTTCAGTCCAAGGCTTGTAACTCTTCTGTCATTGCTTGCTGCGAAAGGGGATTAGTACTAGCCTCACGATAAGAGTGAGGTTCATGTTGAGAGAAAATAGTAGAAT